TTTATATTTTACTAAAGTTCCTGTTTTTCACATTTTTTAATATATTTTTTATATTTGCAAATCCCACAAATTTTTCGTAAGCGAAATGAAATTAGCTGCATTACTGAAGTTACCTACTTTTGTTACCTCATCTGCGGCTCCGAACATAAACTTAACATCTTTCACCTGCTGCCTGGTGAGAAATTACGCATTCTACTCTTATTTGTCAGCAGTTTCCTGTGCATACACTTTTCTTCTCTACCTAAGCCGCTTATTTCGCTAAAAAACAAATACGCCGCCCATCTAACTTGACAAAGCTAACAGCTGTTTCTTTTGGCCAAATGCAAAAAACTCGTTTTGCCTGCCGCTGTCTTTGCAATGCCTTTTAACCGGAAATACACGCTGCTGACGTAGCCATAGAAAAAATAATGCCTTGAAGTCGTTGTTGTGGTCACCACTATTGCTGACTTCATAGCAATTTGATCGGCAGCAAAACACATTTGCTTTGCTCTTGCCACTGTTTCCCTCCCTATAAAGCAACTGTGTGGTTCCTCACTTGGCACTTCTTGTATTTCCTAACTGAGTTGCTCCTAAATTTTTGCCCTTCCACTGGAGTTGGAATTAGTTAGAGTACTCAAAAACTTTTTTGAGACTCAAATTTACCACATAAATATTAGAAATTTTTCTAAAAAAAAATATTTTCAAGACTTTCGAAAGTCTTCCAAATATAAATTTTTTTTTGAGAAGTTTCTTAATAAAAACTATTTTTCGAAAGTCTTCCAAATATAAATATATACCTATACTGATAACTTTGCACTCAATTCTTGTTTGTTTACATTTTCACTGATTTTCGCCAAACATTTCTTTATTTCATTTGTATTATGGCACTGATTTTTCGGTCTCACATTACAACCTTTCGCTTTTATGCACTCTCTCAGCTGCATTGTCTGCTAAAAGGCTCGACAATTTACTTCAAAAGTGTCAGTGAAATGTGTGCAAAGTGTTACAATTAAGCCAAGATTGTCTGACGTTCGGCTTTTATGCGTTTTCTTTCGAATTTCTTTCACTTTCTTCACAATGAAATTGTGTGCCAGCAAAAAAATAAGAAAACAAAAAATCAGCAGCAGCTCAAAAATGCCACTGCGTTTGCTTTGGTAGTGCCTTTTCGTTTACTTTCTTGCTTATTATTATTGTTGTATGCTTTTGTTGTAGTATCCATTTTCCTGTCTCGACACACTTCAGTTAACTTGACTGCAGTGCGGTGAATAGTCTATTTTTTCAACTCTAGTTCTATTTTTAAGCATTCAAGGAGGAGAGTTAAATATTTTTATAAATAATTAAAAGCATAGTTTGAGAAACCAATAGTTTTGAAAAGATGCTGAAATGTTTGAAACTATGGAACTAGAATTGTGCGCGTGATTTCCTGCTTTTTTTTGTTTTCTGTATTTTTTATATAATTTCCATTTAAAATAGTTGAGTTTTCTAATACTTTTCCTTGACATACCCAATAACATCTGATCTAGTGAGGTACCTGGCGGCAATAAATTCCACCATTCACATATATTTTTGGTATAATTTCAATCTGGCCGTTCCAGTCATTCCAATTACAAAACGTCAAAACCTACTCAATCCAGTCAACTGACAAAGTTCTGTAGGTTTTGACGTTTAGCAATTGGTGAGAGAGGAGTTGGGGATCTCATTATCTCTGCTCTGAATTCAAAACTCTTATATGTCAGCTTTTTTGAAAGCGGGGAGTTCCTTATAAATTTCTATAAGCCTTGTGAGAACTGCAAAGTGAACTGAATAGATATGACCAAATTATCAAGGGGAAAAAAGTCGGTTGAGTATTACAAAGTGAATTGAAATAAGGAAATGTAATTAAATTACAAGGTTTGTGGCACTTGATATTGTTATTTCGGATCTTATCTCTGAATTCAGTTCTCTTATATCTTAGTGCCAAACAAATAAGTTTTTTTAGTTAGAAAATTTTTTTTATGCCAAATATTAAGAAAAAGGAATATAAAAACCCAAAATTCAAGATAAATTGTAGGAACCGTTCGCTCATTTTTCTGTTTCTATAGAGATAAATAAAAATCGCACAGATTTTCTGATTCTTCCATTTCTCTAAAGAGAGAAAAAATCGCCCAGCATAATTATAATAGCTACCAGTAGGTAATTATTGGGAGACCATACGAAAGGCCAACGATGTCACTAAATATTGTCGGTTTATTGGTACTAAACTCTGTAGTGCATTAGATTGGCGTTACTATTACTATTTTTAGAAACAATTTTCATGAAAAATCGGTTATATAATTTTCACAAAAGAAAAGAGTTACAAGAAGCTGACTGAATTTCTAGACGATTACACCTGACTATACGGGTATACCTATTTAATAGTATATTCTGTATTTCGATATAAGATCAAGATTCAGTTTGAAATATTTGAATATGATTTTTGACCAAAAAAGTAGAATTATTCTACGAAAACTACATGGTTTGTTACAACTAGAAATAAACGTCAGAGATCCTATAAGACCTTTGTCTAAGACAACGATACAACCTCCGAAAATACAGAAGAATTAATAACACTAAATAAATTTTTGACCACCTAGTCCCTCAAGGAACACCTCCAGTTCTTATACCATTTCTGGAGTGTATCGAAACTATTAATAATATTATTCGACCTGGAACTTTAGGTATTCGATTAGCAGCTAATAAGATTACCTTACTTGTTTGGGTAACACAGATCGGACATCTATAGAATGCAGCTATCATACAAACTGTTCGCTCAAAATCAAGCCCTTGTACGGAAAACTTCTATAATTGGCAGAATGTTTTCATGAAATTTGGCACAGATTATTCTTCGAGACAACTCTACAGTTTCCGAACTTCTTGTTCAAATCGCCTTACTATAGCTTATAGCTGTCATACAAATCGCTCCATCAAAATCAAACTCTTGTATAGAAAACTTTTATATTTGACTAGATATTTTCATAAAATTTAACACAGCATATTGTACATACTTTGAATATAATGTTCTGATTGGACTACTACTGCACGTAAATTTTAAGATTTGGTATACAGTAGAAAACGGCTGTGAATCTATTATCATCAGAGCTGAAGTTATGGTTTTTTTTGTTTTTTTACTTTGAAAGCAAATATCTGCACTTCTGAATTAATTTGATATTATCCTGTACTAGAGTCTCTAAAACTTCTATGCTGGTCCTACCATATACCTCCATTCCACTATTTTCTTACGCTGTTTTTCACCCGCTGACATCATATGCCTTCTAAAATTCAATTAATATAAAAAAAAAACAATAATAATAATTAGAAAACAAAAAACTAAATCTAAATCATTCTCAAATCGCACAAGTAATTAAATTCACAGCAAACAGAAAAAAAGCAATTTTGCAAACACAAATCGCGTTCGCCGCCTTCGCTTAAGCACAGCAGCTAATGTTCATTTCGCTTTGCGAATTTTGTTTCACGCTTTATTATTTTCGAGTTCACTGCTGTCACTTTTGTTGGACTTTTTTCCAATTTCTAAACGTACGCACACACAAACTGCAGTAACTTTACCACTTCAATTTGCAGAAATTGTAATAATTTTTAGTTATTTTTTCGTGAAACACGTTTATTTATGCACTTTTCTTAAAGTAAAATTACTTTGTCGCAAAATTATTTGCACGTACAAGTCGTACCTATAGCTTTATATATATATTCTTATATTCCAATAAGTCAAATTGCTGCTGTTGTATTGTAGAATAGAAGCGAAATAAAAAACTTGTTTCACCGTTTTCGTTGCACCTTCGCCAAGTTTTTCTACTTGATATTTGCTATTTGGATTTTTACTTGATTTTTCGTCATTTAACTGCGATACCGAACCGTCGCTGTTGCCCGCCAACGCTGTACTAAAAGAGTTGCTTGACTGCGTCGCGCATTAAATAAATTTTCGCCGCTGACATCATCGCACCGTGCTCACGAGGGGGGCTTGTACGGAGTCGCCGCTTCGTGGTTGGTGTAGAGGCGTTCAGTTGCTCTCTCTTGGCAGCAGCAACAGCGACCGCAGCCGCAATTGGTACTCTCTGTTACCAATTTCAATTTGCTGTTGTGTTTGCTAATTTTTTCTTTTGACTCTGCTAAGCAACTTTTTTTAGTACTCAGCCGGCTTTATTTGTACTAAATAAGCCGGCTTTTTTGTATTAAGAGACATTATGTTGAGAAATTCAAGCTTAGAAGAGAATAGCTGGGCGCTCTTAAGTTTCACAATAGTTTAGAGATTTTGCTGAGTTTAGTAATTCGACCTATTTGAAAGTGGGTTGCAGAGTCAAGATGTATCACATGGTATAGAAATAAGTTTATTAAAATATCAAGGGCTTTGCATAACAATATTAAGAATAATTGGAGTTTACATAGACTCTAACTCAATATTTTTATAGAACTTTAATAGCAACTTAAAAATAACAGTTATGCGGGATAGATTGGATATCGTAAGCTAACATTTGGCCATTACCTCATTTGTCTTCAGAGGCGAATCGAGCAAGGTATGTAAGTAAAATTGCAGAAACTTTTGGACAAGTAATGAACACGAAACCTAAACAAAGTGCTAATCCCAAATACATCTGAGTTCCTTGCTATGTTGCAGAGTTTTAATGAGACCTTATTACCTGGTGAGGAGGAGGATGGAGTCATGTGTAGAAGTTCCCGAATGCGAGGAAAGCTTATGACCGCCATTTACTTAGGAGTGACCAGGAACGATTCTTCGACATACGGCTCAAGTAACACACTACTTAAACCAAGTATCCTCTAGGTACCAAAAAAGGTACCGTTTGAAGGCGAGCCAAAGAGAGAAGGTGAAACAGCCCTCTCAAGGTTGTGCGCTGCGTTTGGAACCCGCCACGTAAAATACACCTCCAATGAAAGGAAGAAAATAGCCCCGAATTAGATACCCTAATTTTGATGATGATCACGGCAAACGCGTTAAGAATTACGATTTGAAATGTCCGGCCTCTTAATTAGGAAGGTACCGTCGACCAGTTGGTTGATGCCCTCGTAAGACTAAAGGATGACATCAACACTACCAACGGTATATGCTCTGTCGCAAAAGCCTTGGACCTAATATCGGTCGCAATTGATCTAGTGGCACCTTTTCTTTTAGTAAAACTAGCCTTTTCTTATTTTTGAAGGTTTTAACAGGCCATTAGCTTATTGACGTCCATGTTTTAAGGCTGAGAGTCCTAGACGCCATCTGCAGAAGCTGTATGGTATGAAGTAGAAATAACTCAACGCTTCCTTCTTAACTGTCACGAGTTTGGGAGGTCAAGGCTTAAACATTTGAAATTGGTGGGAATGGAAATTAAACGCCTGTGAACTTTGTATTGGCCAATAAGCGTTTTGATAATTTATAAGTTCGATTACAGGAGCCCTTCTATTCCATGCATTCACAAGGGACGACATATAGCAGTTTACTTGCGTTCTCTCTAGATCAGCCATCTAATCTATCTTAACCTAACAAAACTTCAAATAAGCCGACCGCTCTTGTACAACGAGAGATACTGTTTACCAAAGCCTAGATAATTAACTTTTAATTATTAATTTATTTTTATTACGCCTATGGCATTAGAAGCTTTTCTGGATTTGGCATTGTCATACTAGTACCTCAACCTTAAAATTAAATGATTTTAAATACGTTAAACAATTTTTCCCTTTTCGAATTATTTTGTTTTTCTTGAATCATCAAAAAATGTGTACTACAAACTTTAAAGAACTAACATTTTTTCAAATAATTTATTAATGAAAAAAGCTTTCCTTCATTATGATTACATTTTTAAGTAGCTGCTATGACCAGCCTTCACTATAAAAGTATTCTTAATGCTGTCATTCATTGATTCGTTCATTCATTCATGTGCTTCATTTTACATTAACATATACTCATACTAGTATATATCGTGGGTGTCGTCTGGGGGAAAATATGACATATTTTATTGCATTTCTAAATAAATTACATTTTTAATACTATTTTAATAATTGTAGTTATTTTACTTTTCCTATATTACCTAAGATGGTTTTCTTTTGCTTTTGTTTAAACTCAAAAATCACATTGGTTATGTGGTAACTTGGGTTCAAAAAAACAAAAGAGTGCTTAATTTGAAAGTACAATGTCTTCGAAATATTTCGGGAGTTATAACGAGTTTCCTAGAGCGCCGCGGAGTCCAAATTTTAAGGTTTTTGAGCTTTAAATACGTTTTTCTCAAAACATTGTTTTTCTGGTCGGCACCTAACTTTTTTTCTACTGAACCGATTGATTTTTTGTTATTTAGCCCTGAAATTTAACTTCAGTGTTCCGACCAGAATGACATGTCTATAGGTTAAGAATAATCAAGAATATTTGATTTCAGAAAACATCAAGAGCCAAAATCTACCGGGCCACCCACGTGCATTTTTTTTTTTTTTATTTGAGGTTCCAACTTCGAGT